GAGTGGGCTTGTCACAGGGCCAGAGCTCTGGGCTTGGAGGGTGGGGAAAGATGACTTCTGCGCTGGGACCACTTCCCTGGTCTGGGCTCTGGCTCTGGAGGGAGATGGGCATTGGAGAGGCCAAGCAGCTCTTGCTGTGGCAGTGCCTCTTGTGTCCCTGAGTTCCCCCAGGTCCGTTAGGAGCCAATCCAGCAAGGAAGGGGTGCGGGGAGGAGTGCTTTGTGAAACTGTCTGCCACTTGTCAGAAAAATGATGATCATTGTCATAACAAGCCATTACCCTTGAACGGAGCTTTGCACTTTCTGGGCTCATTCACACCCTCTACCAGTACCCGGTACCCGTAGAGCAGCCGTAGGGGAGGGCAGGGTAGGTACCAGACCCCTGTTTTCCTTCTTTGTCCTGGTTTTAACATATGGTTGTTGGAAAGTTTTTTTCTCCCCCTCGAGTCTAATCATGCGTTCTTGTAGCTTCTGTGCGCTGGGTTTTGTTTTGCCTCCAATAACTTCATAGATTATGTCCAGTCCCTTCTTACAATGATGGCATCTTCAGATATTCGAAGATAAGAGGCTCACCCAGCTTAGACTTTCTCCTCCATCATCCTGGAACCCTTCAGACATGTATGGGTGACTCAACAAGATTGCCAGACACTCCATTTTATAGCCAGGGAAGTCAATGCCAGCAGGGTCAAGGTCACAGCCTGGGGCCACTTGCCTGGGGGTGGCCAAGCTGGTCTCCTTACTGTCACCAGTGTTGCCCAGCCTCTCACGGAGGGGCGATGTCTCATTGGACATCCTGCTGTCTGTAAGCATCAGCATGTCCCACCCCCAGCTCCCCCGGCTCCTCCATCTCAAACTGGTCTCCGCTGCTCTGTCTGCAGTCAGACTGTATTGTCCAAGGCCCTCATTTTCATTTGGGGACTGTGGGGCCCAGAGAAGGTCATTGATGGTCTCAGTGAGGCTGGCCTAGAAAGTAGGTCTCTAGATCCCCATCCCAGTGCTTAGAGAGGCTGTGAATGAGGCCAGAGAGTGTAGCTGCAACCCCGTTTCTGCTCTCCAAGCTCATGCGGGGAGAGATTTTATAAATCAGGTTTTTATGGGGTTGGGCAGGCAACCCAGGGCCGAGGGGAAAAGTTTGGGCGTTTGCTTGTCAGCCTGTTCCCCATCTGTTCACTGGGCAGCCAAGACCTTGTGTGAGATCCCACTGCCCCAACTGTGCTTTGGGGAGGGGGCCTCTTTCCTCGGGCTTTGGGGGAAGGGCTGGATTTGGGATGTAGGCAGAGCAGTCTGGGGTGTAAGCTGAAATAAGGAGTTCTGTTTGATGTAGTGGGAGGGGCCGGCTTGGGGGTTCCAGAGCAGGACTGAGAGGATTGGGCTGTAGGACTTCCTGCCTGCCTCCCTAGACAGGCCTTACATTGAACCCCAAATCCCCTCCCTGCACCTCCTCCCACCCCAGGCCTGGGCTGCCGCAATTGACATTGGGCTGGGCCCCCTTCCTAGAATGTATGTGACAGAGATTATCTGGAAGGCTGCCAGTTTAGGGCTAAGATGGGATCACAGGTGGGGTGAGATCTCAGAATAGACGGGACTCACCTGCCCTTTGTGGTGGCATGGGAGGGGGGACACTGAGTGAGGTCCAGAGCTGGGCAGTGGCCTACCCCCACCCTCACGTCATCCCCAGAGGAAGCTAGAAGCACTGCTCCTAAAACCCAGCTCTCTGGAATATCAGAACCCAGGCCCTGCTGCCTGGCCTAGCCACCAGGGGGCACTGCTGGGCTCTTGGCACCCATTCCTGGCTCCATCGCCCTCTCTGCTCTCTCCTCCACCTTTGCAGTGGGTTCCCTCCTGCCTCCCCACCATCTCTATCTGTCTGCCTGTCTCTTTGAATTTTGAGACAATATCAAACTTCAAAACAGTTGCAAAGAACTTTTTTTCACTGAGCTATTAGAGAGTAAGTTGCTGACATGATGCCCTCCCACCACCCCTAAATACTTTCCTGATTTTTCTACAAGGTCTTTTCTCCTACCTAACCCAACACAGCTATCAAAGTCAGGAAATTGACATTGATACGTGACTACCTTCTCATCCTCTTTCCCCATTGACGTGTGGCCAGTTATGTCCTCATGGCCAATGACGTCCTTTACGGGCATGGGAAGAATCCAGTTCAGAACCAGCCACTGCATTTGGCTGTCGTGTCTCTTGAGTCTCCTTCAGTCTAGACATCTCCTCCGTCTGTCCGTGACTTTTTTTTTTTTTAAGATTTTTTTATTGGGGAATTGGGGGATGGGAACAGCGCTGGGGAATTGGGGGAAGGGGAACACACAAGTTGCTGTCGTTTTGTTCTTCAGTCTAGTTGTGGAGGACGTTGCTTCACTGGCCCAAGTTGGCACCATCATTGCGCTCTTCTCTGGCGAGGCAG